CGATCAGCTCTCCGATTGGCACAGAAAGCATCCCAGACAGCTCGATGGACAGCGTTATAAACTACATCCAGACCCGTAAGGGTAACAAAAGCCATTGGCCGACAACATAATTCCACAGGGAAGTCCCACTGTGTGGGGCTCATGTTTAAGGTGTCGCGAAAAATCTGAAATACAAATGTTACAATATATGTAAGTTTAAAAAACCTGAGTCCATATCTGATATATAAACCATTTTTTAAAAAATTACCTGAGAAATAGTGATTGACTGTTTAAAAAAATAATTAGAATAATAATAATAATGATTGGGGAAAACATTGAAAAGATATTGAATGATGAAGTGGGGAGATTAATGTCTCTGTATTGACCGACATGCAGGGCATTCCCTTTTGAAAAAGCAATGTAAAATGTAATATGCTGTGAAGTTATATGCAATCCAATATATTATAAACAAGATTATGATGATAATAATAAATAAATAAATAAATACCAAAAAATAATTACCAAAAGGTAAAAGGTTTTAGGTATCTGCAAACTGTCAAGCAAATAAAAGAGAAGAGAACGAAAGGAAAATTTTAAAAGTATTCAACTTAAATAACAATATTAAAATTTTTTAACTATTAAAATTTTAAAAACCTTTCCGATTAAAAAAATCTGTAACCAAATTTTAGCCATATCAGCATTTTCAGTAATATCTCAAAATGTCTTAAAAGCATTAATGTCTCTAAATGTCTTGATCTGTTCATACCAAACTTTGGAATGAGCAGACCAAGAAAGGAAGAAGGTGGTCAAATTAAAATAGATCAACATAACTTATTTAAATTACAAATAATTATTGACTTACATATATATTAAGGCTCAATGTCTCCTAATTCCTCTGTAGTTATGAATAACTAATTTCTGACTAAGATATTATTAAAATAGTATACTTATTTTCTAAATACTGGCTGTGTTTTCTCATTTTTCACATTTCATATAACATGTGCTATTTAAAGGAAAATCTGTAAGGGAAAAACTAACAACACAAAGACATATTTCTATTATGTATTTTAGTTGAGAATTAGTCTGTAATAAATCCAAGCATATACAGACTTTGGAGAAGCAATTACATTTAAAAAAGTGTCTACTATTTCCAGAAAGATGTATCATGTGATTCTTTTAAAAGGTGATCTGCAAGCCAGCAGGTGGCATGGTGGTTAAGGCCCCCTGTGAGGTTCACGTACCAGACTGGTGGCTTGAAAAACATGTCAGGTGTGTGTGCATGCATACTCAAAATCCTGAGAGAAAAATGGAGGAAAAGGGACGGCGGTATGGCTCCCTGCACAACCCCGACCCCCACCCCCGTCCCGCCTCCCAGGTGATTTCTCACTTCCCCTGTCTCTGTCTCTCTCCTGTGAATACACCTATGGGGAAAATAAATAAATAAATAGCTTTACCAGAACTCAGAACCCAAGTCTTTTTTGAGATGTAAGATGGACTTATGCCACTGCTTGATCCCAATATGCAATATTTTTAACTGAAAAGTTAATTTAGAAAAGATTACTGGGGTCAGCAGGTGGCGTAGTGGTTAAGGCACTGGACTCCCACACAGCTGACCAAGGTTTGAGCCCCTGACTTGGTGGCTTGCTTTCTCACTTTCTGTCTCTCTCACTTCTCATTAGAGTGCACGAGCCCTAGGACAAATTAAAAAATAATAAAATTAAATAAACAACTCTTTAAAATAGAAAAAGACTATTAAGCTCCTCCTGTTTAAGTACTAAAGGGAAACATGAGTAAGGAATAAATGATTTGGAAAGCTTGCCAAAAATGGTATGTGTCTACAACAAATAAGAGTCTTGGAATTGCTTAAACAGACATTTTTTAGAGCAAGATTAAGCTCTAAGGGCAAAAGACTGTGTATTCAATGAAACATTCTAGTCCTAGGGAATTTGATGTGAAAATAAAAAAGATGTGGTCTAAAAAAGAAAAAAGATGTGGTCAAAATAAACATGGGTACCTTTGCTTAATAATATCAGAGTGTAGACTAAAGCTCAAAAGGACTATTTCCTCTACTAATTTCTGAGACTCAAGTTAATGGCTATGATTTTTGAGTATGAAGTGGAAATAAGAACTAGAAATGACTTACAAAGACAAACCAGTGTCACCCAAGAGTCATATAACAGGGGGTCACAAAATAATTAAAACTTTTCTAGCAGTCACATTAATTTTTTTTAAGTGGCATTCATTTTAATATTCTATTTAACCAGGATTTCCAAGATATATCAACACTAATGAAAAACCTATCAACGAGATATTTTACTTCTTACTGTTCTAAGTCTTCAATAATGTGGTGGTATTTTACACTCACAGCACGTGTCAGTTCAGACTAGTCTATTTCACTGGCTCACCAGTCACCCATGACTACCACGTACTACAATGGACAGGGCTCTAAATTAACATACATCTGTCCTGAAATCACTGCATGACAACTGTATCTGAAAATCTTGCTACATTCTATCCTTAAGCCTTTTGCATTTGAAATGGTTCTGCTTATTCTGAGGCAAAGGATGGGAACCAGCACAGAGGTAAAGGACAGTTCAGAAACCAATGGATCCTGACCACAGCCCAGGGAGGAAAACTTTCCAGACCTCCTGCAAGAGCCAATGGAGCAGGCAACCAAACCACCACATGGAGGAAGGTGCAGTTAAATAAGTGAACATTGGATGTGAGGTCATACCTGTGCAAAGTAAGTAATCTGCAAACTGAATGACATGGACGCGAAGAAAGGTGACCCAACCCAAGCAGCAAGATAAAATAATGTGGTTGCTATTTTTAAATGAAGTGAAGGAACAGGATGTGGGACACAGGCTAGTAAGAATGAGATTCAGAAATGTCCAGCCATAAAATGATCAAAAGAGGAACGACAGTTTGGGGCCCAAGCGTCGGGGGAGGGGAGGGGTAGGAAGGTTGATATTCAAGAATTAGATTCGGAAATGTCCAACCACAGAATGCTCAAAGGAGGAACGATGGTTTGGGCCCAAGTCGGGGATGGGGAAAGGCGGGAAGGTGGATGTTCAGGATGTGGAGAGATGACCCAACTTTAGGAAAAGGTATCATCCCCATGTCGCAGTGCTCTGCCTTGGAAGCCCCAATGAAGAAAGACGGAGAAATAACCTTGCAGCCCGAACGGCAGATGAAATCTTCCTCCCTTCCTCTCCCACACCTTAAACCTAGGCGGTCCTAGAAACAGGTGCGTCTTTTCTTTGGAGCTGAAAGAGGACTGCACCCGAGGACGCTGTAGGAAAACGCAGGCCCCCAAATCTGCATTTAAGAGCTCTTCCTCTACAGTCCCTCCTGGCCCCGCAGATCTCCAGGCCCGGACTCACCCAGGCCCCGCGTCCAGGACCCACTGCAGATGCGGCTGGTCACCGCCGGCCAGGAGAGAACGAGGGGGACCGGGCAGGAATGTCACAGAACGTCCCGGCCAGTCCCAGAAGCCGGAGGCCCCCGTCTGCTTCCCCAGTAGGCGGGACTTCCTGTCCCCACCTACAACTGGTACAGGAAGCACTTTCTGGGCCTGAATGACAGAACCTTCACCAATCGCAGATTCGGAACTTTACGCCACTCCTTGAAACGTAAAGAAGACGCTCCATTTTCTAGAGGAGGAAGAGTTGGGGGCGGAGAGAGACGGAGCCAATAGGAAAAGCGCGGAGGCGGGGGGCGGGGCCTCGGCTATTACAGCCCATCAGCCTCTCCCCAGACCGGGCGGTCCCATCTGCCGCGGCCTCCGTCTCCCGGCCGGTAGCTGGCCGGGGGCCGGG